TACCTGTGTGCTTGTGTCTGACTGCAGTTTATTGTTGCTCTGATGAACTGATTCTTGGCATATGAGGGTGTCAGCCTGTCCATGCTGATCAACCCGTCCGGGTCAGGCGTGTCACATTAATTTGTGTGTGTTTGTGTGTATGACTGATTTGGTGACTGGAGGAACCCAGCCCCATTGAGATTGAGTCCTGCAAGATAGCTCCATTGGGGGTGAGGCCTTGCAGAAGGGAGAGATACAGCTCCGTATAGTAACACAAGCAGCACATTGACAGAATCACCAAGACCCTAGAAACTATCCCTAATAAATGAGCACACCCCAAAGTAATGGGCAAATCTGGTAACAAGGCTACAGCCACCAAGAGAAAGCAAAGTGGGGTGGTAGCAATGGTGGGTGATTCCTGTCTGCCAACCGGAGCTCTATTCTCAGAAGCTCTACTCCCTGCCAGAAACCTGAATTCCAGATGTTATGGAAATACTGTCCAAGATCATTTGTCCCTCTGGCTACAACCCCTACTCATCCATGTGGGCAATAATCATGTCAGGAGCAACCCTGAGCAGATCAAAAATGACAGCCAGGCTCTGGGCACAAGGGAGAAGGAGACAAGGGGCTCAGGTAGCGTTCTTATCTCTCTGTTTTGGGAAAGGAAGCTACCGTGCAGAAACCTGCCTTGCCAGGCACCCCCAATCCCCTGATTCCCTTGCAGAAGGCAGACCTTCCTTTAAGCGGGGGTGGCTAAAAATCAACCCATGGCTTACCTCGTCTGAGAGGAGGTGAATTTTTGCCTCATAGGACTCAGCCCGGCTGGTGTGGATTTCCACCACACATGAGGTGCACACGGTACTCCCTGACACCGGCAAGAAGAACCGCTTCTCCAAGATGGTGTTGAGCAGCGAAGTCTTCCCGGCCCCAGTGCTGCCAAAGAGCCCAATGTAAATGGGGTCCAAGGAGGTCTTTTCCATCAGCTTGAAGAAGCGGTCCCTGGGGGCACAGAGGAAACAGAAAAGGGGTTGGATGACTGAAGAAGCTCCACATACATGGGAAGAGCCAGGCAGATTTCCCTTCACCAATAGAAATGCTCCCATTGATAATATACTCAAAAAGACCCATTAAGTGGAGACTGTGAGAGGCCCAGTCTGCTCCGTGCCTAATGCAAACCCCTCCCCCTGGAGTCAATGATTGACCCTTTCCCATTGACACTGGATCAGACCTGCTGCCCCTGAAGTTCAGGGCAAGGTTTGGCCCTCTAATGGGATACAGTGGGGAAGACAAAACTGTTCACTGAATTTGGAAAAGGCTGTGGAGCCTGATTCCTGTCTGGGAGTCTCACCAGGGAGCTAAGTAAGGCCACAGCTACAGGCAGTCATGCCCTGTACCATTGCCTACCCTTTGCTCACCCCCGGCTGCAGGCTTCAGTCACCTCCTGGACCCTGGGGGAGCATGATGGTGAGAAGGTGACACATTGCAGGGCTGCATCCCCTCTTCTAGCAGATGCACAGGGCCAGCAGGCAGAGGAATGTAGCCTCTCTGCAGCAGGGATGGCCTGTAACCACAGGGTCTTGCACGTCCTCTAAAAGGGCAGCTGATACTGGCAGGTGGCAGGTACCAGACATGGAGTGAGATCTCAAGTCCACAGCAGGAGTTCAGAGGGAGATCTGCCTGCTATGACATGGATCTTCCCCCAGGGCAGGGCAGTGAGACCTGTGTGACTACTGACTAGTGTTCAAATCCCTCAAGCGATGGGGAAGACACTGGGCTGCAGACTTACAGGATATAAGAGGCCTCTGGCATGCAACGCAAGTTTGAAAAGAATTTGTCCATAGTTGAGTCTTTCAGGATTTTCCTCGTCCTGGATTCCAGCTTTTCATCTGCAAAAGAGAATATCATCCCGTTGTCAGACCTACAGCTGCCCCCATCCATCTGGGATGTGGCTGGATCACACCAGTTCAACAGCTCAGTGTGAGGATGGGAGACTTCCCAATTCAACATGGACTAAAGTAAAACACAGGGCAATTTAGGCTGATTTAGGAGGAGCTCACTAAGTTCTGCGGTGCATCGCCATTGGAACAGAGTCCGGAGAGAGGCTGCAGAATCTGTCAAGCTTCTAAGTGAAGTTTAAGCAAATACTTGGTGCCAATCAACAGAAGCTCTTGACTGCCCTTCGAGCCCCAATGTGCTCCCAGGGGTGGCTGTGCTGATGCAGCCTCATTCAGAGGACTTTTAAAAGTAAGGTCCTGTATTAGCTATGGCCAAACTCCAACTGGTGCTTCTGCTGGATGCCAAGCAGTGGGACAAGCCCAAAGGAGAGGTGCTGCCTTCCCCAGCCAACACTCATCATGGAGGCTCCTTTGGATGGGGCACCTATGCATGGGCAGAGCCAGTCTGTTCTGGGGCTCTGAGATGACCCTGTCTGTGGCACAGAGCAGTGCAGCCACATGGAGATGAGCAAGTGCAGTCCTACACCCCAACCCGAGGATGGAGAGTGGCTTCTGTCCTTTCCACCACATGGAGGGGGGGTCCAGATTTGTCCTCTGCCACCCCTGCATCTTTCAGGTGTGACGCTGGCACCCCTAAGGTCCCCTAAGGTCAGCAGGGCCTGGCAGGTTTCCATACTCACACTGCATCAGGAGCTCTTTCTCCTCCACCAAAAAGCTTTTGTACTTGAAAGTCCTTCTCCTTTTCTTTGCGGGTATTTCTACTGTGTCTCCCCGGTGGGCACCTTGGCAGGTGAAAAAGCAAGAGTGCCCTGTTAGTGCAGGGGCGGGCCGTTATTCTGAGCGGAGGGCTGCTTAACAAATTTTGGTGAGCTATCAAGGGCCGCATGGGTAGCTCCGCCCTTTGACAGTTGCCCGCCCCCTTGTTGCCATCTTGGGATTGGAAGTCCTACCCCCTAATTCCTGAACTTTGCCACCAGAAGTCCCTCCCCTTGCCCCCGGGAGTACTCCATGAGGGGGCTGCCATCTTAGAACCAGAAAAAATCCAAATTATACACTAAAAGTCAAACACTGACTATAACAAAGTTTAATTTTATTACAGAAAATATTTTTGTCATTTGTGCTTGCACAGTGTATATAGGGGTGATTGCATAATAATTCAAAAAACAAATTCTTAGTTTTGTATATTGTGGGGGGGTGTATAGTAGGGTGTGGGTATGTGTGTACGTGGTATGTATGTGCATGGTATGTGAGGGTGTGTATGGTGGGGTGTGGGAGGTATGTGCATGTGGCAGGATATCTGGAGGGTTGTGGGGGCAGGGTGTGGATGTGCAGGAGGATGGGGGGCTGTGGGAACCCCCCTACACACGCTCCCCATGGCACAGCAGCAGCAGGCAGGGCACTCAGGGTGTTCAGGGCACTAATGCCTGGCAGGACATGGCTCCAGCCAGTGCTGTGCATCACAGCGAGGGGCGCAGCCTCCTCCAGGCCACCGATATCGCTGGCGCTCCCTGCCACTCATGCACAGCCCCTGCACTCGTACAGCAGGGAGGGAAGCCCACGTGTTAGAGCCGGCTGCCTTCCCTGCCGGGGCTGCACGGCACAAGAGAGAAGCCCCAGGCACTGGAGCTGACTGCTTTTCCTGCCCCACGGGGGAAGGCAGGGGGCTTCCCTCCCCTGCAGCACAGCCCCGGCATGGAAGGCAGCTGGCTCCAGCATGTGGGGCTTCCCTCCTGTGCTGTGCGAGTGCATGGCAGGGAGTGCCAGCGATACAGGCAGCTCACACGGAGGCTGTGCCCCTCGCCGCAATGTGCAGCCCTGGTCGGAGCCACACCCCACCAAGTGCCTGTGCCCTGAGCACCCCACCTGCAGCTTCTGCTGCTGCTGCCACCGCCTACCGGGGATGCGCAGAGGGGTCCTCACACCCACATGCTGCCCACCCCAGCTCCATGCTGCCACCTTCCCCTGTCCACTTGGGCATGGGCTCCTCACTCCCACCCCGCTGCAGCCCCACCTCTGCTGCTTCCCTACCTGCTGCCTGGAGCAAGCAGGAGACCAGGGAAGTGGAGCAGGTCCCCGGGGGCTACAGCAGTGGCAGCAGCAGCCCGGCACAGAAGCTGCACGCTGGCCGGCCAGGCCCTTCCACCCATGAGAGTAGGAGCCAGGCGATAGGGTATGTTTTTGGGGCTGTGTGTACACGTGGGCACAAGGGCTGAGCAGGGCACAATTTGTTGGGGGGCCCTGCAGGGCGGATGAAAGTGCTTGGCAGGTGGTATTTTGCCCATCCCTATGTAAGTGTGACTTGTCTACAGATGGCTTGGGGAACAAGGCTGAGTAAGATACTTGGCAGCTTGTTACCAGGGATCCTAGTTTTCTCTGATTTAAGAAAACAAAATCCCATATTCTGATTTAAAAAATAACCCCAAATCCACATTTTTATGTGATTAAAATGAGGCACCACTAATCATGGAAAAGTGTGGATTTGGGGTTTGTTTGTTTTTTAATCAGAGAATATGGAATTCTTTTTTTTTTTATCAGCAAAAACCAGGATGCCTGCTCATTACAGAGGGCATCAGGGGACACCAGTCTGTTTCTGCGCCCAAGCCCATAGAGGTTTCTTACACACAGCAGCACTTGTAGGCCAAGATCGAGGCCCTGTACTACATGCTATACTCACAGGTGCTAAGAACTTGCACCCTGCAAGGATGAGACAGGCAAAGAGCAGGGCACAGAACATGTCCTCCGCTCCTTTGTACAGTGAGGGCCAAAGCACCAAGGGATTCAGGCCGAGATGGCTGAGAGAGAATAAACCAGTGGAGCCTAACTAGTCCCACACCCTTCTGAAGTGCCCACCGCTGTCTGATCTGCTGCTCTGCTTTCTGCTCCCAGCTCTGCGCTCCCCATCTGTTCTGCTTCTTCCCCTGTGCTCTCTCCCCATTCTGCACCTTGGCTTTCTGCCCTGTCTGCTGCTGTGCTGCCTGCACCCTACTGAGCTACTACATGCCACGCACAGAGGGTGCTCCTGTGACTTGTGGCATCATGCTGCAGGTTGGCCACCCCTGGGCAAAATGGCTTGTTCTTGTACCTCCAGCCTTTCCCTCTGGTCTCAGACCAAGTGTGCAAAGTTTCCCATTACTGAATGTTATGATGAGCAAGGGAGAGGGAAGGGTTAGCAATGGAACTGGATGCAAACTAGTTCACATAAATCAGTGCAGGCAGCTGGGCAGCTCTCTCCCTCTGTGTGCTACTGTGACCACCATACAGGGCACGTTCTTACCTGGGGATTCAGGTGCGTTGCTTGCCATCCTACCAGATGATCTCCAAAATGAGCAGGGGGTGCTGGTTCACACTGGGCTGTTCCTGCCCTTTGAGGCCAGGAAGTATTCAGACTGGAACACGGTGAGAGTGACCCAGCAGGATATCAGAGTTTCTGAGGGAAAGAACAGGTTGCCATTGCCTTCTTCAGCCCCTCTGCTTTGTGTTTAACCCACCAGGCCCTGGCTGGTACTGTTCTCACCCTGCCCAGCACTTCCCTTGTTACGTGGGATGCTTGGAGCCTGGCCACACTATGCTCCCATCTGCATGGGGGGGCTTCACCACTCCAGGCTACAGCATGGCTGCATCAGTGCAAGCCCTTTTGTGCATGCAGGGAAAGCTCTTCCTTGTACCTGTGGAGCTGCCCCCCTGTTTGGACCCCAGGTGACCTGAACTGGCAAAAGCCACAGCTCAGGACAATTTATCCTGTTCACACCAGAGATGTCTCTTGGGGTGGCTCCCCTGGCAGCTGAATCGGGACAAGCCCAGCACCACGCAAACTCTGAAGGCTATGACACGGTCAATACCTTGTGGAAGATCATGCTCCCCAAATCCAAACAGGGAAGGGTCCCCCTCATTGAATCAGGAAGGAGGCCTGACCTGACAGACAGCTCCCTATCAGGAGGAAGTGTCAAAGCACCAAAGTTTGGCACCAAAGCCTGCAGCAGCAGCCCGCCCTCGCCCAGGGGGCACATGCCCCCCCACCCTGATGCTTGCCAGGAGTGCACACAGGAGCAGGAGCCACCCTTCCTACCCCACCCCCAATGAGCCACTCACGGCTGTGTCCTGCACCCCAACCCAACTGGGCAGCACCTGTTGGCACCCCCTTCTCTTCAACACCCGGGGAGGTCACCCCACTTTCCCCCACTTGCTACAGCATTGAGGAGAAAGGAAGTCATCTGCACACTGCACATGCTCCCTGAGATTTGAATAGAAAGATATAGTATTTAAGAGATCTCTCAGCTAAGGAGAAGCTGTCAAGGGACCCCCAGCCTTAGGGAATTTATGTAAGCCCTAGCTGGCAAAAGCTGGCCGGATGGCTGGCCGAGAATGCAGACCTGTATTGCCCTGTAGCTTCACACCAAGAAGCAGTGGAATAGAGGCCTGAACTGCCCAGCCACCAGGACTGTTTGTGCGAGTTAATGGCAAGCATGTGTAGGAACACCTGCGGTATCAGGGACTGCCATAGCAGGGATCATTGTATGCAGTTCTACAGCCTGGGTAACACAGGAGGTCAGTCCCAAGGAGACCATGGGGGTCCCCAGCTGCTTCGACAGCTTGTGCAAGAAGGAGAAAGCCACGCTGAATCCCTGAGTACAAACCTTCACAGACCTGCCTGGAGGTTCTCCCTCCGTGCCCCATGGCAGAATCCTGATGTCTTTGAGGGGTAGCATCTCCCAAGAACCAGGGAGGCTTGCACAGGGGTGGAAAAGAAAGGGGAAGGAAGCCAGGTACAATCTTCTTTGCTGCAGCAACCAATGAACTAACCAAGCAGAGGCAGAAAAGGGAAGTCAGGTCTGGACAAGGAGTACTTTGCCAGGATCGCTATCCTGGGAAGGAAACAACAAAGCTAGCACAGAGGCAGCCTATCCAGGCAAAACCATGCTCTTCCCCAACGCAGCACATTGCAGCCCCTGTGACAGCAATGAGCAATGCCATTCAATGCAGGCCTAACTGGGTCTGCTCTGGTGTCTCTCATGGACAGAGCTGGCATCCTTAGGCCCCTGCCAGCACAGGTATGGGGAAAAAGCTTGTAGTATAGGCCTAAGAGGCTCTCTCCAGAAACAAGCCAGCCTAATGCTCAGAAAGCAAAATGTATTTAGTTCAAGCCCTCAAGTCCTAAACCTTTCCCTTCCCACTTGAGTTAATCAGCAGTAATGCCTTTAAAGACTTGGCGCATGCTGATCTATGCTTCTCCTAGCTCTGGTTTGAAAATGATGTGGAGCCAGAGGCCAAGTAGTAAGTACAGACATTTGGGGAGGTTAAAAAGGGTTCATGGCTGCCCGATTTAAACAGCTCATCCCAGTGCTGAGCTTACACTTACATCAGGGGTGTGCATCAGGATCTGGGGGAACTCCTGTTCACCAGACTGCCCCAAGGGATGACAAGGTCCAATGGTCACAAACTCCTCCAAGACCATTTTAGGCTGGACATAAGGGGAAACATCTTTATTGTCCGAGCCCCCAAGGCCCGGAACAGACTGCCGCCAGAAGTGGTGCAGGCACCTACTCTGGACTCTTTTAAGAAATGTTTGGATGCATATCGTGCTGGGATCCTTTGACCCCAGCTGACTTTCTGCCCCTGGGGCAGGGGGCTGGACCTGATGATCTTCTGAGGTCCCTTCCAGCCCTAATGTCTATGAACTCTATGAAACCCAGTCCCAGTGACTGGCAACCAGTCTAAACCTGTGACTGTACAGAAGTTCCATGCACACAAACTGGTCTAAAACTGCAGAACCCAGTTTAAGAAAAAAAAACAGGGGAGAAGGGATAGGAGTGCAGGCTCCCTGGGGAAGGGTAGATAAAAATCAGATTATTTTCTTTTTAATTGGATTTTTTTTTAATTTAAAACAGCTTTTTTCTATTTAATCGTTTTTGGTTTTTTTATAAGAGGCTTTTAAAAAAATAAACTTATATAAAGATAAGACTGTCAATTAATCACGGTTAACATGCACAATTAATGCATTAATCGTTGTTCATGCTAATCATTCACACAATTTTTTTTTAACCTCTCTCTAAAAGTGCAAAGTTTCAAGAAGTTCAACTAATAAAGGATATCCAACAAGAATGCACTTTTTGTAGAAAACAATGGTTAAATTGAGGCTTCCTGACCAGTGATTTAAATTGTGTTTTAAACCATGATTTAAATCAAATCTACCCTGCCTGAGGGGTACCCCCCCCCACCCCTGGGTCGCCCCTCCCTCCCCAACCCACCCATAGGTCGCGTCTCCCCCCATCTTCGAACAGACCCCCCCCTAACCCTGCCCCCTGCACTAGTCCCCAACCCTGACTTACCTGATATCAGGCAGCCATTTTGAATTGAATTGATTTAACCTCCCCTAACACTCCCAAATGTCTGTACTTAGCCAGAGTGGCCACTACATCTGCAGGTCCCCGTCCTCCCTCCCCTGTTCTGGGACTAGCTGCAAGCAGCCATATTGTCACATTTCATTGCAGCATGCCTTTTTCGTGAAAATCACTTAATTTCATGATTTTCACCAAAAAATGTGACTTCGTGATTTAAACCAGGCCCTACGTAGAGCCTCCTCCCCACCAAAATGACAGTAAAATCAAACCCAAATTATTCCACTGTCTTGGAAGTGATCAGCTGCTGAACGACTGCTGGTCTCTCCTCCTTTTTCTGAAGTATCAGAAGTGAAAGTTAGTCTACATCAATAAATCATCACAGGCAATGCGGCAGGAAGGCGAAGGCACCCCACCCTCCCCCAGGTTTCTGTGCCAACAGTGTGGCACAGGGCATATGGCTGCAGCCTGACAGCTGCAAGTTAGTCTGCTTCCCTGCAACTGGAAGGAAGCAGCCCACGTCTTGCCTAGCATTGCTGACAAAACAGACAGGCCGATTTGATGCACCCTGGTGTCATGTCAGCTATACCACCCCGCTGAGACACTACAATCCAGGACCCCGTTCCTGGGCAGCCTGCACTAGGGATTAGTACCCTCATGGCATCACCCCACTCAAGGCCTGCATGGCCAAAACTGCCAGCAGGACACATAGCTGGGGCTCAGCGACACAGCTATGCCAAACCCAAAATAAGTTGCAACAGCAGCTAAAACATGCCAGGCTCCAACCTTGGCTGGTTTGCTGCATGGATTGATGCCCCCCACAGCATCATCCCACTCAAAACCCAGAAACAAAAGGCAAAAGAAGAGAGAACAGGGGTCTCAAGCCCTGAGACAGACTTTCTCACCCTGTACCTGAAGCTTTCCCTTTACGTAGCTTCAGTTTGGTTTTCTAGTGAGGAGGACCGCCCCGCCCCACCCCTTTGGGAAGCAGGCTTTTTGGGTCCCAATTCAGCTTTCAGCAGCCCCAGGAGAAGAAAAAAGACCCTGCCCAGGTGCCCTGCACCTTAAATCACTTCTCTGACATCATCACCTGGTCCCAACCAGAAGCAGCAGACCAGCAAATTTAAAGGTGGTCACCACTCCTGGTCAAGTGGCCAGAGTCACCAAACTGGTTCCACAGGTCCCTTGAAGGGAACCTTTAGGCTTGGGACAGACATTACACATACACCGGTTTAAGTGATGAGAAATTGTTTTAAACCCGTACCAAAACAGATATTCAGTGCACATAACCAGTTTCAAAATGGCCAAAGCTGATTTGGCTCAAACCGATTTATGCCATGCCTGGTCCCAGACCCCTTCTTGGTTTAACTTAAATCAGAGTCCCCCAGCATCCCAAATCAGTTAAGTCTGATACTACATTCAACCAGGTTTATCTCAAACTGGTTTCAGCATTTTGAAACTGGTTTATGCACATGGAATGTCTGCTCTGTTACAGGTTTAAACCAGTTTCTGATCACTTAAACCAGTTTATGAGTAATGTCTGTCCTGAGCCTAAGGGTTGAGAACAACCAGGTTAGATAATAAGCAGTTTCTCTCAGCAACATCCTCCTCAAATCATTCCGGACTCTACACATATTCCAGCAAGAAATCCCCTCTATTTCTTAGAAATCATAGACAAATCATAGGAAATGATGGTTGGAGGAGATCTCTGGAAGTTAGTCCAAATCCTGGCTCAAAGCAGGACTAAATAGATCGTTCCAGCCAGGGCTTTGCTGAGTCAGGCCTTAAAAATCCTGTTCCAGTGATTCAGCACCCTCCTAGTGAGCAAAGAATGCCTTGCTTAGCCCTGATCCCCTTATACCAAGCAAGAAGAGGGTAACTTACAGCCTCTTCCTCCAAAATAACAATAAACTCATACCTAAATTATTCCACTCTCTGACATGAGCAGCCTCTGGACAACGGCTGCTTCCTCCTTTTTCTGAAGCAGCAGAAATGAAACTTATCCTACATCAATAATTGATGTCATGGCAGGCTCCTCCTCACTTCCTACAAGCCCTGGCAAGTCAAGCATTTGAAAGATCATGGGGCTGGGTTTTAAAACAAGAGTTTGGACTTTGGCTATTTGCTTACTCATTCTGGAGCCGTTAGATTGCAGGCAGCTCTCATATTTCGTTAGTAAGATGTTCATACCACACATAACCGTAGGAGCTTGGATTTCAGGAGCAAAGATCGTGAGGCCTGTGGTAAAATCACAAGAGCTGGCAAAAGCAACTATTGCTTAATTGGTTAGGCACTGGTGCTGGATTTGACCCATAAGACAGAGTGCCTAAATACTCTAAATCAGGCTTGTCCAACATACGGCCAGCGAGCCGCCATGCGGCCTGCCAAGCCATTTTATCTTGCCCGTGGCGGCAGTGGCAGTGAAGTGCAGAACCGCAGTGGTGCGGAGCGTGGAGCCGGCAGCGGCAGAGCGCAGAGCCGCGTCGGCAGCGCCGGCAGCACTGGCAGAGCCACGGCAGCGGAGCACGGATCCGTGGCAGTGACAGAGCGCAGAGCCATGGCAGCGGAGCGCAAAGCCATGACAGTGGAGCGCAGCTCCACAGCAGCGGCAGAGCACAGAGCCACCACGGCGGTGACAACACCAGCAGAGCTGCGGTGGTGGAGTGTGGAGCCACGGTGGCAGCAGCAGCACCGGGGGAGCCGCGGCGGCAGAGTGCGGATCCGTGGCAGTGGGGCAGCAGCAAGGCGGGCAGGGCTGGCCCGCAGGCCCCAGCTGGCAGTGAGGGGAGGGGAGCTGCTTACCCCCGTGGGGCCTGGCTCATCAGCCCAATCTTTAAAAAAGGGAGGAGGGAGGACCCAGGCAACTATAGGCCCATCAGTCTTACCTCAATCCTGGGGAAACTCTTTGAGAAGATCATCAAGGAGCACATCTGTGATGGGCTGGCATCGGGGATGATGCTCAAGGGCAACCAGCACGGTTTCATTAGGGGCAGGTCCTGTCAGACCAACCTGATTGCCTTTTATGATCAGGTCACAAAAGCATTGGATGCAGGTGTTGCTGTGGATGTAGTCTTTCAGGACTTCAGGAAGGCCTTTGACACTGTCTCCCACCCCATCCTCATTAAAAAACTAGGCAACTGTGGAATCGATGCCTACACAGTCAGATGGACTGCAAATTGGCTGAAGGGTCGTACTCAGAGGGTGGTGGTGGACGGGTCATATTCGACCTGGGGGGAAGTGGGCAGCGGAGTCCCCCAGGGCTCAGTCCTTGGGCCC